TGAGCTAAGAATAGCAAGGCGGGTAACCTGACACGAAAAGGCTAAAGCATCCTCTGCGGTGAACAGATAAATTGACAAAGAGGTCACACAAGAGGACAAAGTGGCATTTAAAACGATGACTAAATAAGAATCTGTTTTAAAAATGCCAATATAATAATGCAATATATATTGTAGGCTACTGTTTGTAAAAATGTTATTGAAAGTTAGCCTATTAAATGTGATACTTTTTTGAGACAAGAATTGAGGAGAAAAAATGGGCGGACAAGAGCTGAGTCCAAAATTAATGAGATTTTTGTCCGTCATTTTCCCACCCATTTTAGATGAACCACTCTCATTTCAACATGACGAATCTCTATCGAAGGCAATCACTGTAGTCTTATGCCTTAACCCCGAAGCAAAATGGAAGTGGGTGTGTGTTTTAATCTAAACTGGGTTTTGAGGGAGACAAAAAATACAAGCAAGATTTCAGATAAACGAGACAAGAAGGCACAACGAAATAATGGATCCAGTTGAGAAATAGTGGGTGTTTTCGTGAACATTAAAGCATGCTAATTCATTTTGCTAGGACGAGCCCCAAAAACAGAAATTATGAAATCTGCGATGTGCAGCATATTTCCCCCTTTCATACTGAAAACAATGGCCAAGCTTAGTCGTTCTAATACCATTTCAAGTGTAACACATCAAAAAATATAAAATTATTACAGATTTTTATCTTATGGAACTTAATAGTCATTTAAATATGTTTGTATATTGACTTACCATATTTAGCGATTTAGGTTCCGACAGGCGAGAGGCAAAGTTGTAGAGACCAGAGGCTAAAGTACACAAAAGTACATCAATTAAAATGCGTTAGTTATGTAATGCTAACATATTATTACTCATTTGAGGAAGTACTGGAAAATGTAGCCTAACACCAATTTTTTTTGTCATATTACAATTCTCTATCAGATTCTCTCTCACCATCACTTTACAATTTTCATCTTCAATGATCAAATCATCACGTATCGTCTAGGGAAAACCATGTGTATAATGATTCGTACTCAATGAATATACATAGTAACTCTACCGTATATGTGATGATAGGCTACTCAATCATTTGTTCTGTGAGTGCAGAGGCAGATCTAGCTGCTGTGATGAAGTCTGCTAGAACTCTCTGTATATAAAGAATGTGGGCAGCAAACAGCACCCATAAACAGAACCATCATAGGAACAGATTTATAAAAGAACAAGAAGAACTTGTTGCTTTAATTTCTCCTTTATCACCACCACCATTTATAGTTTGAAAGAGACTCACCCATCATCATCTCCTAATGTTGTCTCTCAGACACTGAGAGACAAAACATCCATAAACAGATTGGAACAGAAATGAATAACATTTAATTTTCTATATGCCCTGGGGGCAAATCCATTTCCAGGAGAGTATGAACTTGAACTTGACGAAATCCAGTCCTGCAGCATTTTCAAGATTCCTTCTGGTGAGTGTTAATCAAAAGCCCTGTTACGACTCCCATCACCATTTACAAAGAAATGGCAGTAGTTTCTATTAATTTGACATAAATTACAGCGCACATGCCGATTGCTACTATTGACTGTCAACAGACGCTACTATGAACAACACACTGATACAGAGTGTTAGTTACGTCCAGATGGGCTGGCCCACCAGTGGGCCGCAAACATAAAGGCCACTAGGCCACCACAATGTGGGGAAAAAAATGATTTGCAGTTAAATAAAATCACAACTAAACTACCCATGGGCCACTTGATGACTGGAGATTACATGGTCCCAAATGTGAGACCTACACTCAGTATAGGCCTTAGGCCTTAGCCCTAGGCCTTACAGTACAGTATACTGTACAGTATACTGTACTGTAAGGCAAGCACAGAAGCATTTTCAACATTTTCACAAAGGGTCAGGAAAAAGAAAACCCTGAGGCTGATGCAGAAAAATGTTTCAAGTTAACAAATTGATTGATTGATTGATTGATTGGCCATGTTTGAGCATTTTCAGTTGTTTGTTGTGTTGTGTGTTCAAATTGTTATATGTCAGTTGTCTATTTCCTTTTCAGTTTCCAACATATGTGCTCTGTAAATCACATGCTCTGTGCTCTCCTTAGAGAAAAAAACAGAAACCGAAAGAAATATTTTGCTCTGATGATGGCAACTCTTATTTTTGCATGAATTTGTCAGTTCTCCATCTCCGCAGATGGATAATTAGTTTCTATACAGCCAATCAAATTCTTCATAAAGCAGTAAAATTTCATAGGATCACACTGAACCAGACATCAGCCGCTACACAAGAGTCACAGAATCTGAACAGGAGTCCTCATCACCTGTTCTCCTTCTTGACTTAGAAACATGAACACTCATTGTTCTGCATCTTAGTGCACACCATTTGCTGTCCTATTGTTCTCATACAATCTAGCACAGCTTGAATATCCAGTCCTCCTGCATTTACAAGTTTTGCTTTGTAAACTGAACAGACCTCCTGTCATAATTTACAAGAAATGCTACCAATTCTTTTTAAATGTGGCGCACGAGTCTCAACAAAAAACTTGCCCAAATGAGTTCTGAACATTTTTCCCGTTTTGAAACAACAAGTGAAAGAAAACTCTGCTCATTCCTCTATGACAAACCTGTTTTAGTGAAGAAAGCTGAAAGGCTAAATGACCATTGCCTATTTGAGTTTATACAACTCAGCTGTGTCTTCATTATTCCATGGAAGCCAAACTCCAGCACAGAGAGGCTGAGTGAATGTGGTCTGGACTCTGTGGAGGAGAGTCATGGTTTCAGAGACGCTGTAGAAGGACAGAACACCTGCTCTGTGATCCAGGTACACTCCTACTCTGGAGGACCGAGGACCTGAGACTGGAGTTTTCATATTGCTGTGCCAAAATGTGGTGACACTCTAACGCCCAAGATCAATCAACAGTTATCAACGCACAGTTGAGAGAGTCTGTGTTTAACCTTGTTTTAATAAATGTTTCCCATGAATCAAACACATGTTAAAGGAAAAATTGGGAATGTTAGTCACATCAAACCTGAAGTAAATTGATTGACTGATTAATTGAGGTTAATATTCAACACCAGAGAAAATCATTCATTCTTCAAACATGCATCAAAGCTCAGAAAAAGACTCCTGGTCGATGTTTCTATCAGCACATTCTACAAAATATCACAATAATGACTTTGACTCAACTAAAGACTTTACTATCAACTTATAAAACATCATTTTGAGGAAATAAAGTCAATCAACTTTGCAGTCACTCTGTAAACCAGTATGTCAGCTCTGTGGAAGGAAATGATCAATCCTGGATCCACTGATAAGAACAATGATATTTATAAAATTTAATGTTTTTAAAAGTGGTGAGAACAAGCAATACATGATCAGCTGTTCATCCGTGTTGACTCTGTTGATCTCCATTAAGACCCATGAAGTCAAACGGAAGGAGTAGTTTAGAGGCCATACACATTATTTAACAGCATTATTTCATTATTTAAATAAAATAATGTCCATCATATAAAAACATAAAAAATAATCCAAAAACAAATGATCACAATCCCACAGACCATGTGTTCACAAAATCACCGAAACATGCGTTTAGAAAATAAGATATATACTTTTCCCAAGATGATAATTGCAGAAGGTTGAGGTGGCAGAAAACTATCTGAATATACGACAGCAGCAACACAAATAATCAACAAGTCATTACATCTAGAGTGAGAACAGGTCAGCCAGCGATTGTGATTTGACACCTCTATGGTTAAGGTTTAAATTTGGGTCAATAAAACTAATATGTGGAGATTTGAAAGGTTAAAAAAAACCAAAAAACATGCAAGATTATAACCAGAGATTTAAGTACACTGAAGTCAGCAGTCAGCCCCCCCACTCCCACCTCCAAAAACAAATGCTGTCAACATTTAATTGATTGAACTTTTAGGATATACTTTTCTAAATATTATCTTGTTGTATAATAGTCTAAATTCAGTTACATGGCCCTCTTTATGCTAGTTAGAGTATGATTTGAATTTTCTCAGATCAATGAAAATTTTGACATGTAGGTAGTTCATCAGGTAGCATGACCATCAGTAGCAACCATGGCTGATCAAAGAAAACAGAACCACCTACAGAAAATCTAATTTGATCAACCAGACAGTTTTAATTAAAGATCTTGCTCACGTTTACTTGAGCTCACAAAGCTTAACAGAGAAACCGTGCTTTGCAAATAAACTTTCACATGGAAGAAGTGAAAGTCCAGCATAGAGAGTCTGAGTGAATGTGGTCTGGACTCTGTGGAGGAGAGTCATGGTTTCAGAGACGCTGTAGAAGGACAGAACACCTGCACTGTGATCCAGGTACACTCCTACTCTGAAGGACCTAAAACTAAATTTAGGACCTGAGACTACAGTTTTGATATTGTTGTGACAAAATACAAAACAATTTCTGTCATAACTTAACATCCAGGATTTGTCGTTGCATCCAAATGCACATTCATTCAAGTCCCCTGCTCTGCTGATATCCTTGTACGCAACTGCTACACATACTCCTCCTCTCCACTCCACCTCCACCTCCCAGTAACAACGTCCAGTCAGAATCTCTCTACTCAGGACCTGCTCACATGTGAATCTGTCTTGGTGACTAGAATAAGACTGTTCTTCACTCATTAATGTTGCTTTTCTGTTTCCCTCAGATAATACCAGACGTGTGTTTGCTGTGTTTGGATCCAGTGTGATGTCCTGTGAATATTTTAAGAATCCAGCTTTGGTCCTGGGCTCCGTTTGTGACAGTAAAACATCCACATCAGTCACTGCCAGTGAGATGTTTGTCCATGTGTCTCTCAGAATGTCCTGTAGTTTATCTCTGAGCTGTGACACAGCTGCTGTCACGTCCTCAAAGTAGCTCAGAGGACGGATATTGATGCTGGATGAGTCTGTAGATTCACTGAGTCGTGACAGTGAGGGGTAGTTGTGTAGAAACTGGTTGTGATCCTCTGTGTGTGAGAGCTGCTTCAGCTCAGCGTCTTTCCTCTTCAGCTCAGTGATCTCCTGCTCCAGCTTCTCCTGAAGCTCTTTGACTCGACTCACTTCAGTTTTCTGCTGGGATCTGATCTGCTGCTTCACATCAGAGCTTCTTTTCTTGATGAGACGGATCAGCTTAGTGAAGATCTTCTCACTGTCCTCCACTGCTTTATCAGCAGAGCCATTGATAGCCTCCACCTCCTGTTGAAGCACCTTCACATCTTTGTCTCTGTCCTGGATTCTCTGCTGGATTTGTTGTCGCCTCAGCTGGAGCTCTCTCTGCCTCTCAGTCCTTTCTGCTGCAGCTAAGACTGTGTCGTGGCCTTTATGTTCATCCACAGAGCAGAGATAACAGATACACTGCTGATCAGTGCGGCAGAACATCTTCATCACCTCATCATGACGAGAGCAGATGTTCTCCTGGAGCTTCTTGGAGGGCTCCACCAGCTTGTGTTTCTTTATTGGGGCTGCATGATAATGAGGCTGCAGGTGTTTCTCACAGTAAGAGACCAGACAAACCAGACAGGATTTCACAGCTTTCAGTTTTCTCCCAGTGCAGACATCACAGGCCACATCTTCAGGTCCAGCATAGCAGTGATCAGCAGGAGCAGCTTGGAGTCGAGTCTTCTTCAGCTTCTTCACTAAATCTGCTAACATGGTGTTTTTCACCAGGACAGGTCTTGGTGTGAAGGTCTGCCTACACTGAGGGCAGCTGTGGATTTTCTTCTCATCCTCTTCATCCCAGAAGCTTTTAATACAGCTGATGCAGTAGCTGTGTCCACAGGGAATAGTCACTGGATCCTTCAGTAGATCCAGACAGATGTAACAAGAGAAGGTCTCCCGGTCCACCCGAACTCCTTTCTGCGCCATTTCACCTCTCGCTGTCAACGACTGTCTGAGTTTCACTTGCTGAGAACTGAATCTAGTTTGAGCTCTGATCTGAACATGTGTCTCTCCAGTGAACGGGGCTTGTCAGCTTTTGCACCTCCCATTTTCAAACTGTAGATCTGAAGGGGAGGGAACAAGAAAGTGTTTGAGAGCAGGAAGAACCGGGAGGTTGTCGGGGTTGTCTTAATGTGAAAAGGCAGTATACAGTATCTGTCAGATCATTTTAGTTGAGTAAAAAGTTAAGTATTTTCACATATAATATAGTGGAGTGGAATTATAAAAGGTGCATAAATTAGAAGTACTTAATAAAAGTACTTCAAGACTGTATGTAAGTAGTATTTGAGTAAATGTACTTAGTTACATCCAACCTCTGTCAATAAATGTAGTTTTTAAGAAACTAGAAGTTCATGTTGCAGGAGACAACACTCACAATAAAATTTGTTTCCATCACAATTTGCATTGACTTAAATTTATTCCCCATACACTGATCTTAACCCATGTCTTACTCTGAGCCTGACCCTGACCTTAAATGAAGTCTCTCATAAAGAAAAGACACCTAAGACATCTTACTTTATTAATGCATCCAAGGGAAAAAGGAATCTCTAAACCTTCACCAGGGTTCTGCCTATCCTGTTAACAGAAAACATAATGAAATAGCTACATCTGGTTCTTAATTAAAACAATTTGCCTTACTCACAAAAAATATTTCACGTCAAATATATTGTTATTTAGGTAAACATAATTTGAAAGAAATAAACATTAAGTAATCTCAAACAAGGACATTTTTTACCAGCAACTTACAGGTGTGGCAGCATGGCTTCAAACAAAGGGATTTTGAGAGTACTCACCGAGTCCTTTCGTAACCTCCCCTACTCAGTCTCCTCACCTGTCCTCTGCCAGGTGAATCTCCACCCACCCAGTCTCACAGAACTGACATATGAGCTTGAGATTCTTGAACAAAGAAGTTTAGCTCTCAGGTCATTGTAGTGGAGTAAAAAGTGAAGTATTTCCACTTATAATGTAGTGGAGTAGAAGTATAAAGTTGCATTGTTTGCACTGACTTTGATTTATTGTCCAGACACTGATCCCAACCCATGTCTAACTCTGACCCCGACCCTGACCTTAAATCAAGTTTTCACTCTAAAACTGACTAATTCACATTCTGGAGACTTTATAGGTTTTGTCCCCAAATTAAGGCAAGTCCCCTTAATGTGACTGTCCCCACAACATACATGTTCACAACAGCTGCGTTCACAAACACAGTGAGGTCAAATAAACACAACTACAGTTTGTGTTACAACCTTTTATTGGCACTCTTGTGTTTAATTACATAAAAATACATTTTGTTAATGTATTTTGGTTCTGACCCACCGACATCTTTCCGAAACAGGTTCCAAGGATTTCTCACTTTTAGGCAACTGCATGGAAGCCACCTTGATACAACTGGAAGGTCAATGAAAAAAAAGAACTAATTCATCAGTTTAATACATTTTTAAAAAGGTCTTTATTTAGTAAAGCCTGAAGTATTATTTCTATGTTTTTATGTAAGATAATATAAAATGTATTTTCAGCTGTTTGTAAGTTGACGTGGCCCTTTCCTCTTTATGTCGTGTTCGTGTTTGTCCACCAGGTGTCACGCTTGGCTTAGTTTCTCTCTGTGACAGTCATCTACAGACATGTTGAAGAGTTAGTGTCAGAGTCAGTGTTTAACCCTGTTTCGATAATTGTTTCTCATGAATCAAACACATGTTGACACATGAAGGAAAAATGGGGAATGTCAATATCATCAAGCTTGAAGTAAATTGATTTGACACAAGTAAATATTCAGCACCAACCAGTTTGTCTTAAAAAGCAAGTTGTAAAATCACAATAATAATGAGTTTAATCAACACAGTCTTGTATTAATCACAAAAATGTATACATTTTAACCAGTTCAGTTAATAACAGGATTTTTCTTTATTTTTTCCACAGATTTCCAAACTGTTGCTTCATTATAGTTTTGTTTCTCATTCTGCTCATAGTCATGTCATTTGTTTTAGCTGTGAAGAGGTTTCAGTAATTAAACTTTATTCACAGAGATCAGTTTCAAATTATCTCCAGAAGCTTTGATAGAATTTCTAAAACACTTATCACTTTTTTTTTATTCTTTGAGAGAATATCTGCTTCATAGTTTTGCAAACGTGCATCAAAGCTCAGAAAAAGACTCATGGTCAGTGTTTCTATCAGCACAAAATATCATAGTAATGACTTTCACTTAACTAAATACTTTCCTACCAAATTAGGAGGAAATAAATTCAATCAACTTTGCACTCACTAAGTGAGTAAAATCTAACATGAATGCTAAATTGCAAATGTTTTTGTGTCTTTGTTTCATGCTACTTCAATAGGGTATATAAACCTAAAGTAAGGATACTTGTTAGTGTGTTTAGGTGGTTGAAATACATATGAACAGTGACACTCTCTTTTCCCACTCTTTTCCTTGAGCTGCTCACATGTCAGGACTCATGAAACACACCGAGCAAACTGCAGTCCCTTCTTAAACGCCAAATGCAGGGTTTTGCTAAAGAGCAGAGGTATCGTGTCAGTTTTAAATGTGTTGCCTATTGTTTGACTGGTAGTGTGAATTTGAAAATGTAACCAAATAACCTTTCATTAGAATGACCCCTTGTGGCAGATAAACAGTGTTACAGAGGTATTTGATGTTTTTCTTTTTTTAGTAAATGTAGCAGCACCTCAATGTGAAAGTGTAAAGTTTTGTAATAGATGTTTTACATAAGATGAAATAAGTAAGTATTATCTGCAAAATCTACTTTAAATATCAGCAGTAAACGTGATCATTAGGTGTCAGAATGTTATATTATCTGTTGTGCTGTGCCCCTTTTATTGATTCTTTGTTTGGTCTCTTGTTTATTATATCCTGTTTTATTTTGATATTGCATTCTGTTTTAATTTGTAATCATATCGTGTTTTATTTTGATATAATTTACCTTGTGTGTAAGTTGGTTGTTTTACTCCCTCTCTTTGTCTGCTTCTCCCGCCCTTGTGATTGTCTCCCCCCACCCTGATGTGTTTTACCTGCATCCCTTGCCTCCCTAGTGTATTTACTTCTCTGGCCCAATTCCAATCCAGCCCCTACACCCTCCTTCTCTTAAAGAGTTAAATGAAATCATTTCCATCTAATAAAGGACAAATCATAACGGACCCATCCACCCTGTATTCACAAAACCAACAAAACACTGATTTAGAATACATACTATATATTTCCCAAGATGATGAATGCAGAAGGTTTAGATGGCAACTGAATATACAACAGTAGCAACACAAATATACAACAAGTCATTACATCTAGAAGAAAGAGCAGGTTAGCCATCGAGTGTGATGTGACACCAGAAAATCTAACTTCATCAACCAGACACAGTTTTACTTAAATATCTCCTCCATGTTTACTTGAGATCACAGAGCTCAGCAGTGGTACTACAAAAAATACCAGATGGATTTTCACAATAATGAAGCCAAAGTCCAGCATAGAGAGGCTGAGTGAATGTGGTCTGGACTCTGTGGAGGAGAGTCATGGTTTCAGAGATGCTGTAGAAGGACAGAACACCTGCTCTGTGATCCAGGTACACTCCTACTCTGGAGGACCGAGGACCTGAGACTGGAGTTTCTACATTGTTGTACCAAAACTCATAACAATTTTTGTAACAATGTAACACCAAAGATTTGTCATTGAATCCAAATACACATTCATCCCAGCTACCTGATCTACTGATATTCTTGTATGTGACTGCAACATTAACTCCTCCTCCTCTCCACTCCACCTCCCAGTAACAACGTCCAGTCAAACTTTCTCTACTCAGGACCTGACAATAATCAACAAATCTGTCTGGGTGACTAGAATAAGACTGTTGTTGACTCATTAAAGTTGCTTTTCTGTTTCCCTCAGATAATAACAGATATGTATTTGCTGTGTTTGGATCCAGTGTGATTTCCTGTGAATATTTTAAGAAGTCAGCTCTGGTCCTGGGCTCTGGTTGTGACAGTGAAACATCCACTTCAGTCACTGTCAGTGAGATGTTTGTCCATGTGTCTCTCAGAATGTCCTGTAGTTTCTCTCTGAGCTGTGACACAGCTGCTGTCACGTCCTCAAAGTAGCTCAGAGGACGGATATTGATGCTGGATGAGTCTGTAGATTCACTGAGTCGTGACAGTGAGGGGTAGTTGTGTAGAAACTGGTTGTGATCCTCTGTGTGTGAGAGCTGCTTCAGCTCAGCGTCTTTCCTCTTCAGCTCAGTGATCTCCTGCTCCAGCTTCTCCTGAAGCTCTTTGACTCGACTCACTTCAGTTTTCTGCTGGGATCTGATCTGCTGCTTCACATCAGAGCTTCTTTTCTCCATGAGACGGATCAGCTCAGTGAAGATCTTCTCACTGTCCTCCACTGCTTTATCAGCAGAGCCATTGATAGCCTCCACCTCCTGTTGAAGCACCTTCACATCTTTGTCTCTGTCCTGGATTCTCTGCTGGATTTGTTGTCGCCTCAGCTGGAGCTCTCTCTGCCTCTCAGTCCTTTCTGCTGCAGCTGAGACTGTGTCGTGGCCTTTATGTTCATCCACAGAGCAGAGATAACAGATACACTGCTGATCAGTGCGGCAGAACATCTTCATCACCTCATCATGACGAGAGCAGATGTTCTCCTGGAGCTTCTTGGGTGGCTCCACCAGCTTGTGTTTCTTTAATGGAGCTACATCATAATGAGGCTGCAGGTGTTTCTCACAGTAAGAGGCCAGACACATCAAACAAGACTTGACAGCTTTCAGTTTTCTCCCAGTGCAGAAATCACAGGCCACATCTTCAGGTCCAGCATAGCAGTGATCAGCAGGAGCAGCTTGGAGTCCAGTCTTCTTCAGCTCCTCCACTAAAACCGCTAACATGGTGTTTTTCACCAGGACAGGCCTCGGTGTGAAGGTCTGCCTACACTGAGGGCAGCTGTAGATTTTCTTCTCATCGTTTCTATTCCAGAAGCTTTTAATACAGTTGATGCAGTAGCTGTGTCCACAGGGAATAGTCACCGGATCCTTCAGTAGATCCAGACAGATCGAACAAGAGATGGTTTCCTGGTCCAGCTGAACTTCTTTCTGCGCCATTTCACCTCTCAGTGTCAACGACTGTCTGAGTTTCACTTTCTTAGATTTCAACTAGTTTGAGCTCTGATCTGAACAACATGTGTCTCTGCAGTGAACGGGGCCTGTCAGCTCTTGCACTTCAACACATGTTGGTTCCACCCATCATCAAACTGTAGATCTGAAGGGGAGGGAACAAGGAAATATGGACAGAGTGGAGCTGGCTGTGTTTGAGAGCAGGAAGAAGGGGAAGGTTGTCAGCATTTGACTTGAGGAGCAGTTTGATACTCTGTGTTTAGTTCTTTTGTACAACCTAGTTTGCAGAATGTGACTATTTAATGAAGATTTTCTTCTTTTTCCATGATATTTCTTTACTTCTGTATATTTTTTCTTCAAGAAAACATGGTTTGTACATTAGAGATTTCTACTATGAACACACCCCTGGAGACACAAAAATCTAACATGAATGCTAGATTGCAAATGTTTTTGTCTCTTAGTTTGTTGCTAATTTAATGACTTATAGAAACCAAATAGAAATACAAAAGTATTGTTAGTTATCAACTACTTTTTTAGTGTGTTTACATCTTTGAAATTCATGTGGACAGTTTCATCAGTGATTTTAATAATTTATGTTAAGAGTTTTTAAAAAGAGAAAGCACCTAAATTGCCCATTTCACTCTTTTCTTTGAGCTGCTCTCATGTCAGGACTCAAACACACTGAGCCAAATGCAGGTTTTACATAAGAACAGAGTTGTGTGAGGGGTCATGAGCCAGTTTTAAATGTGTTACCCAATGTTGAACTGGTAGTGTGTGGTGGTAGTGTGAGTTTTACTTTTAAATGTAAATTGTGCTAAATGTAGCATCACGTCAAGGAGAAAATATTAAGGGGGGGTGGGGCAGGCATAATGAACCACCATGAGAAACCCAGTCTAAATCAATTGTGGTTTATTGAAGTCTTTGTGAGATAGGGCTAATAAGCAAAGGAGGTAGCTGGTCGAGGCAATGAAGAATGAAATGCAAAAATACTGCAAGGTGTCAAGAACAAAGGAACTCACATTTACACTAAGACAAACAAACAATTGTTGCAGGAGAGGCTATCAGTTTAAAGACAGGGAGCTTGTAGGTCTTTCCTTTAACACTGACTTCTGCCATGAACTTTCCCATCTGGACAAGAGAGGAGAAGTTCGACCTTTCCTATGGCAGCTGTGGGTCAGTAACCATGAAAACAGTGGATGTTGCCAGGTTGAGGGCATGCCAACACAGATTATCACCGTGGTTCAACAGTGACCACACAGGGAAAGGAGGGATTTAGAGAGAAGAGTTCATCTACTGCAGCTTCTTTTCTATGACCAGTTTTTACTAGTTAATGTTTTCGTTTTTACTTTGGTGTCATCTGGTGGTAGGATGGTGAATGACACTGTAAAATAATAAGGCAGAGACACTGTTATACTATATCAGTATATCCAGAAGGCTGTAATGCAGTAGCTGTGTCCACAGGGAATAGTGGCCGGATCCTTCAGTAGATCCAGACAGACGGAACTGAGGTTTCCTGGTCCGGCTGAACTCCTTTCTGTCCCATTTCACCTCTCTGTAGCATTGACTGTGTGAGTTTCTCTTTCTTAGATCTCAAACTGCTTTCAGCTCTGCATCTAAACATTTTGCAGTGAATGGGGCCTGTCAATTCTTGCACTTCACCAGCCATCTTCAAACTGTAGATCTGAAGGGGACGGCTAGACATCTTACATTATTAATGCATCCAAGGTAAAAGGGAATCTCTAAAGCAGTAGTTCCCAACCTTTTCCAACCCATAGCCCACTTGAAAATCTAAAAAATGTTGACAGCCAACATCCAACATTTTTAATAATAATGATAATAATAACAACTTCATTTATATAGCACTTTTCAAAACAGAGTTATAAAGTGTTGTACATACATAAAAACAAAATAAAGCAATAAAAGACATGGAGAAGAGAGGCAAAGTGTCAAATAGCAAGGCAAGTATAACAAGGAGAATTAAAAACGTATTTTGAAACAATAAAATTAATAAAACAGACAAAAATAAAAAAAAAATAAAACCAAAAGTAAAAACCAAAGACAATGGCATTGAAATCGAATTCGAATTCAAACGCCTGATTTTTTAAAAACATATTTATATAACATTTATATTTTTATATATTACATCTTATTACATAAAGTTTTTGATTTGGGGGCCCACTAGCAATGCCTTCGCAGCCTACCAGTGGGCCCTGGCCCACAGGTTGAGAACCACTGCTCCAAACCTTCACCAGGGTTCTGCTTTTCCTGTTAACAGAAAACATGATTAAATACAGCATGCGACTTATAACTACATCCGGTTCTTAATTAAAACAATTTGCCTTTACTTATAATATTTCAGGTCGAATACACTGTTATTTAGGTAAAACATAATTTGAAAGAAATAAACAATAAGTAATCTCAAACAAAAGAAAGTTGTTTCCAGCAGCTTACAGGTGTGGCAGCATGGTCTCATACAAACAGATTTTGATGGTACACACCCAGTCCTTTTGTAACCTCCCCTACCCAGTCTCCTCACCTGTCCTCTGCCAGGTGAATCTCCCCCCACCCAGTCTCACAGAACTGACGTATGAGCTTGAGATTCTTGAACAGGAAGTTTAGCTCTCAGGTCATTGTAGTGGAGTAAAAAGTGAAGTATTTCCACCTATAATGTAGTGGAGTAGAAGTATAAAGTTGCATTGACTTAAATTTAATAAATAAAATCCTGTGATACATGTCCACAACAGCTGCGTTCACAAACACAGTGAGGTCAAATAAACACAACTACAGTCTGTGTTACAACATTTTATTGACGCTCTTGAGTTTAATTACATAAAAGTACATTTTGTTAATGTATTTTGGTTCTGACCCACCGACATCTTTCCGAAACAGGTTCCAAGGATTTCTCACTTTTAGGCAACTGCATGGAAGCCACCTTGATACAACTGGAAGGTCAATGAAAAAAAAGAACCATTTCATCAGTTTAATACATTTTTAAAAAGGTCTTTATTTAGTGAAGCCTGAACCTGCCTCAGCTGTTATTCAGAAGTTGTCTTTGTCTAATACGGTTATTACATGTGAGCTAAAAATGAAGTGCAGCCACTACAAAGTCCTCTCAGGCACTGATAAACAAATACTTCTATTGTCATCTTTACACTTATGCTAGTACAAGGCATTACATGATTAATTCAAGAGGATACATTAAACATTGCTGCGTGTCTTTATTATAAAAACAAGGTCTTTTCATGTACAAGGCATGTTAAAGAAACTCTCCTGTCATTCTTCTCCTTACTTCAGTGAATCCACAAGTGATGCTTGACACAGCTGTGTAGGTGCATCTTTAAATAATGGTTAAGGTGCGAATGGAAATGTGCCATTTTACTTTCAGTGCTCTAAAAATACATTTTCCTTTGTTTTGAGTGTGATCCTGGATGATCCAATGACATGAGGAGCAGAGGTCTTTGTGGGTTCGCTTGGGTCCTGGTAGCCGAGCCTTAACAGGGACTCGAGTCGGGCCAGATCACTATTGCATAGGGTCTAATCGGATTGGACAGAATCCTGTTCTATTGCTGCCGGTCTTGTCTCATGACCAAGCAGATTAACGCAGAATATCTCTCATCTTTGATCACATGGTGCGTCATCATAATGGGAGGAAAGATGTTTCTAAAGGCAGAGGGAGAATGTGAACCATAAAAAGCATTTAGGATCGGGTCTAATTTGGACCTGGTCTGACCGTCTCAGGTCTGTTTGCAGTTTGGACTGTTTTCGGATTGCGTATCTCTGCATCAAAGGTCCTCAGCCAGATGCTAACGGGGGATGTTGCAGATCATGATCAGTGCTTTGGCCACTGGGCCATGATAGGACCCAGGACCCTTGTTCTTACTCCACAGGTCTGTCTGTTAAGGCAGATAGATCATATCTCACATAACTTAAACCCCCAGGAAATATGACTTAAGATGGTTGAGTTCAAGGCATGAGCCCCTCTCTTGTCGTTGGCTATCAAGGCATTCAGGTCTGTTACCGGTCACCAGCCACAAGGCTTGGTGGTAACTGAATCCCCCGAACCAGAGAGCGGAACATTTTACCAGTGCTACCTGTGCTGTGACAACACTTACAGTACAGCAGAGGATTTGATTTTTAGTTCAGCAACAGATTTTATTTGTTCATGGCTCCAATAGACAGATCATATGTGACTCATATGTGACTTGGCCATATTGTACTTTAATAATATTCCCCACAATACTCAATCAAAGTTTGGTTTTGACTAGTTTGAGGATGATGTGGATGCAAAGTAATTTTTCTCTCTGTCCTCTGACGCCTCACCAATCTACACTGAAATGTGAAATTCAGGAAGCACTGGAAGTAAAATGTTTATGTTTAAATATATTTCTGTCTCAATGAGATTTGCATGCATAGTATTTTGACCTGATGCATGTTGTAATAAAATAAACGTCCCTTGACTAAATAAGTGTTTCATGAAAAAAAAAAAAAATTACATATAAAATTGAAAAAGGAAATAATACAAAAATAAATGTTTCCTACTTTCTAATCTTCATTGTCAGCTGTCCAACCAGTAGTATAGTGTTTTAAGCATTAAAGATGATTGGATTGGCTAGTGATTGTCATTCATCATTGGGGTTGATGTTTGTGGAATTCTGGGTAATGTAGTCAGATGAATTGATTCAGCATCAGAGTGAATGTTAGGTGTGTGAGGATTACAACCACAGCAAAAATTCAATTATTCTGGGAAATGTTTTTTTTTTTTTTCTCACTTAAGAGTCAGTTTCAGTTTTGAATACTTTGTCTTCGGTCCAGACGGAATTTCAGAACATATTCATTGATATCACATTATTTTAACCTTCTGTTAAGCATTAATAAGCAACATAAATGTTTTAGAACAAACTATAATTAAGCTGTAAGTAGATATAAGGACATTTTAAGTGTGTAAACATAACAAATGATCAATTCATGTAAGACAGTAGTATTTTTTTTTATTATATTTACTAATTATTTATGATATCAATTACATACAGTGTATTAGTGAAGTATTTATTTTTAAATACATCTTCTTCACTCTCCATGACAACTGAGCAAACTCTACCTGCCACAAGGCCTCGAGATGTGGCTGAAAGCTCTGAAAGAATCTAAGCAAGGAGACCTTGAGTTAATAAATTTTTATCAAAACTACTATTTCCAGGGTCAAGAGTGAATCTTCAAGCTCCACATGACTGCATGAGCTTTAAACCCTGTCTGATGATGTGTTAATGTGTATAAGCCGTTAACAAACAGGCTGTGCTGTACTGGTTTTAATCACTCATTTACTGCTTATACAACAGATGCTCAGGGTAGTTATAGTTGTTGACAAATACATAAATAAACACTTAAAATGCCCTTATTTGCTTATAGCTACGTTATAGTGTTATACTGTTATAAACCATTTATTAACTGTCTATATGCTGCTTATAAATGCTAAATTGACATCACCAATCAAATATGTTTAAAAAGGCAAATGTGACCACACCAATTGATTGAAACCAAGAGCAGGGTCTTAGTCCTCAACCCATCAACAACCTTTAATGCCGGGGTCAGACCACACAATACTTTTGTTTTGTGAAGTTCGCTGTATGATTAGGTGATAGTAGAATTATTTTTATGGCCTAAACAACTACAGGTCGTAGCTCATCGTCGCTCTCACCTTCCGTGATGTACATAAAGTAGGTGACATTTTTCATCCTACAAGCCTTTCTGCAACAAAGAGATAAGAAAACTTATTAGAAACTATTAAACACATCTGCAGAATGGGAGGACTTGCACGTTTTCTAGTTCTGCAAACCTGCCCCACATCTGTGAACTGACCCTTTACCTGAACTGACCAACATGTTAAAGGTCCATATAGTATAAAGGTAGATGTCCCTGTGTTGTTTGATTATAAAGCAGCTCTAGGTTCTATATTAATACTGTGAAAGTATCAAAGCCTCAGTCCACAGAGAAATGCACACAGCCTGTATTCAGAAACTGAGCCTTAAAACCAGCCGTCAGGACTTCTGGAACTCTGTGATGTCACAACAGAGCAGTCACCACTCTCAGCCACGCCCCAGGTCCCGCCCACCTGGACCCACCATCCAACCTTGCAGGATTTACTTTCAGCCAGACAGAGGAGAAGTTCTGAACCTCTCTTCTGATTCGCTCACTGACCTGTTGTTACTAGAACTACAGAGAGAAGCCTGAGAGTGGAGATGTAAAAGTACATTGAGATGGTTTTTGGTTCTTAAAACTACAAATATATTGTCTTATGGCTCAACACTTGAAATAAAACACAGGAGAAGAGGAAAATATTGAGCTTTAATATAAGACTCTCCACCTGAGTAGTAGGCTAATCTGTAGTCTGTCGGTTCAGGCCTTCAGCAGGCTGATATTCTGTAGTCTGATCTCGGCATTAGGCTGGGATGATTCTGATTAAAGCGACATCACCTTCACCTCTGTATTTCACATACTGATCAGTTTTGAAACAATGATGTTAGCACTACAGGAAAAAGATAAATGGAAACGTTGTTTTTCTCACAATTCCCCCAACAGTCCTCTGTAGCCAGAACACTCCCATCTCCTCCACATGTCCTCTGTAACCTCTTCTTCTCTTCTGTCGACCGGACTTTTCATCAATCAGTGATCAGTGGCGTCTGAGGAGTTTGGTGAAGAATCCAGTTGAGGCTGACTTGTCGCTCTTGGCCTGTTCCTCCTCTTTGGTCTGGGCCTTTTCCTCTCCCAGCCCCAGCTCCCCCTCCAGTTGCTCCAGCTCCGACTGGTCCAGCAGCTCAAAGTCCTCAACCTCGCTGTCCGACTCCTCGGCCAGCTCCAGCAGCCTGGTGGAATCCCGGAGTCTTGACCGCTCCGGGTCGTTTCTCGGCGCCGTGAATCCCACCGCTGCTTCTATTCTTTCCTGGATGGCAGCTGTGACCGCGGCAGTGATGAAGTCTCCTGCCATCTGGTTCACCAATTCAAGTGCTCTGTCGGTGGTTTGGTCTTCGTGAGGAGGAGGAGCATGCTTGGATTTCATTGACTGCTGGGGCTGAGTTGGAGGCAATGGAAGGCCGAGGCTGAGGTCGTCGTCTTCGTCCCCATTGGTCGTCCCACCGTTGTCAAGTGAAGGGAATTCTGGGAGGCCACCAGTGAATACTTCTTCTCTGTCGAGGTCTGTGAGGTTGAGGTAAAAAAGAGTAGCCAAGACATTAACAGGAAGCAAGCACAAAATGTTCACAATATGCAAGAAGATTTCTCTAAAGCCCTGCTCCTGGATTCCTCACATGATGAATCCTATCACTTTGGTGATCCTCCAACATTTTTGTGAAATACCTCAACATTTACTCAATGACCTGGCACACAATTTGGTGCAAGTATTCATGGTCACAGGAGGATGAATCCCAATGACTTTGGTGGTTCTCTGACTTTTCATGTAGCACCATCATTGGAGCAAACTTTCTATTCATCCAGTACTTTTGTTTTTGACTTCACCATCAGCCTCAGCTGTACTTTGTGTTTTGTACCATTTAGCAAGCATTAGCATGCTAATATGCTAAACTAAGATGGTGAACATGCTGAACAACATACATGCAAAACATCAGGATCACATTGTCACTGTGAGCGTGTTAGCACTCTGATCAGCCTTTATCTCAAGTCACCACTGCAAAGACTGCAGCTAGCAGTCATTTTAATACATCAAACAAATACCAAAACTGCCTTTTTAAATGCATCAAAATAAGTAACATGTTAAAATCTGAGTAAAGTAAAACACAAGAAAATGCAACAATAACAAAAGATAAGATTAATTTCTTTAACGGTCCCACATAGTCTAAAGGTAGATGTCCACATGTTGTTTGATTATAGATCAGGTCTAGGTTCTATATTAATACTGTGAAAGTATCAAAGCCTCAGTCCACAGAGAAATGCACACAGCCTGTATTCAGAAACTGAGCCTTAAAACCAGCCGTCAGGACTTCTGTAACTTTGTGATGTCACAACAAAGCAGTCCCCCTCAGCCATGCCCCAAGCCCCGCCCAGCATCCAACCTTGCAGGATTTGGTTTCTCTTTGCGTGTTTATCTGAAATCTGTTATATTTTCATTGGATCACTCAGAAAACAGTCAGCCAATCAAAAGAAAAAAATTATAAATGTATAGTAGATTCTCTTTGTATTCTTTACCAAAGAAACTACAGACTGTACATGTGTGACTAAAGAAGTAGCCACACACATTAAACTACAAAACCCCTCACAGCTGTTCAATCAGATGTCCCTATTGATTTGATAACCGTGTGTCCACCTGTGGGACAGTGCAGAGCAGAGAAACGTACCCTCTGAGTTCTCAGTCTGAGGTGTGTGTCCCTCTGACAGGTTGAAAGTACCGTTGTCTGTCCACGTCACATCAGACACCTCTGTGTCCGATACAGACATTTCCTTACACACTGTGGAGTCGAGCTGTGGGCGGGAAACACACAGAGATGTCAGATTTCTAACCCAGGGCAGGCAAAAAGGTTCTACAGTATCTTCTTGTGTGCAAGTTAGTGAACTGGCAAAGCTGAACAATTTAAGAAATAAAAAATAGCAATAAAAGTGCACGTCAGATCCAGACTGTGTTAATATGCCCATAAAAATGACCAAGTACGAAGAGAAAGGGGTTTAAATTATTAAATTTATCAATTAATATATCAATTAACAGGAATTCTCACTCTCTATTAATATTTTTCCATCTCATCTTACATTAATGTTTTTCATTTAACATGTTTTTATGTTGATTTTATGTCTTTTCATGTGAAGCACTTGGTGCATATAATTTCTTTGTTGTAAAGCACTTGGTGCTACATTTCTTGTATGAAAGGTGCTATACAAATTTTACAAAGTTTATTATTATTATCATTATTATCACTATATAGAACTGCACAATATTTGAATAATTACTTTTCTTTTCTAGGTGTGTGGCGATGCAGCGTCTGCCTGTCGCTGGTCTTGTTTATTTTTTTTTAGTGTTCCAGGATTTTCCCAGGTTAATACAAAGAGCTTTTGGAAACAGCAGGTTGACAAATAAATGTTTAGCACACGGTCCACACCTACTGATGAAGGCTGCGAGATGTCGCTAAAAACTCAACAGATTCCCATTAAGTGGACCTTTGCTTTCTCGTCTCAAGCTGTCAAATCCAAATCAAGTCTTTATTTTTGAGACTTAAATCTGTCTCTGGTCTTAATCTACCTCCCTGCTAATATGATGACTCACCTCTCTGCATTTCATACACGTTGTTCATTAAATGATTAAATAAAGGATCCAATCTTGAGACTTTTGAGGGAAGCACAAATGTAATGTGTAACCAGGTGTTTGGCATTCGTTTTGGCTCAGGTCTTGATGCCGTTGTGGATCATGTGAAGTGATTTTCAATTAGCTTTCCCTGGAGCCAGTCACTCAACAGAGACATAATTAGATTGAGAGGAGATTATCAGCCAACCTTGGGAAACATGGAGGAGAGGTCCGACTCGATGCCCTCCTTCTCGGTCTGAGCCTGCATGATTCTCTTCTCTGAGAATGAGGAAAACACGGACGAGACTGAGTTAGTTTTGGAGTCCAATAGTGATACACAAAGTAAAGGAGAAGCTCTAGGTGAATTAAAAAGAAAATACTTGTGCGTAGATATTTGTACTTTGATTTGGCATACCGTCACATGCACCAGAAACTTTTATTAACAAACCTTTTTACCTGTCTTATTAGCATCTATTCACTGATGGGTTGTGTTTTTGTGTATTTATTCTGGATCAGTGAGTGGGTGTTTTTTTTATGTAGTAAAAATGTAGGCGTGTGCACACTGTATATACATCTATATTCATTGCACATTCCTACATCTGATATTTCAAAATAATGAATAATTCAATGCTGCTCTAAACACTCTTTCGCACTTCTTTCTTGCAAGTTTCTCATTTGGAGTAAACTGAGGACAAACTGGGTCGTTACTGTGAGCGTGAGCCACTAAGAGTGGTCATCAATAGTCAAGAGCGCCACCTGGGGAACACTCAACGTCATCAACAGAAAAAAAAACCCCACAGTTTCAACCACACTGACTGACAGTTCTTTATGAAGTTCATAGCAGAAACAATGAGACCCTTTGCACTAACAATGCAAAAGAAGTAAAAACATGTTGATTAATGTTTAATATGTGTCGTATGTAACATTTACCATGGTTCTCTTTGATTTTCCGAAGAAACTCCCCAATGCCAAAGTCCAGCTTCTGCAGAACTGGCTCCAGCCACAAACCAACGTCATGGGATGAAATCAGAGGCCACAGGAAGACGCCCAGCACTGGAGAGAGAAGCCAAGAGAGAAAATAAATTATTTGTTTACAGAAACGTAATTAAGCTACCATCCATAAAAACACATAACAAGGCCATTTTAACTTCATTTGCAGAAACGAGTTGGCTAACCATGTCGGGACACAGTGTTAGATAATAATCATCATATACACCTTTTAAATCTGTCTTCAAAATCCTCATTAGTTAAGATTATTAGATTAGATAGTCTTTATTGTCGCCGAGGGGCAATTTGGTTTGCAAGAGAGCTCAACAAAACCAATACGCATCATAAAATAAAATAATACAATAAATTAACACATTAATCCATTTACCATGCAGCATAATAAGTTACAGTAAGATGTGAAGCACTAAGAGTCCAGCAGCTTATTGCTTTGATGTATCTCTTCTCAGCTGATGACACCACAACGATGAAGCTAGATACAATTAACATGAGTATAAGGTTCTTCAGGTAATCAAGATGACTCACCTAGAATATACGAGATAACAATCCCTGGAATGTAGCGTCCTAAGACAGCAAAGAAGGTGCACAAGCTGCAAACCAGCAGGCAAAACTAGAAGAGAAAGAAACCAAGAACAAGGAGAATGACAGTAAACATTTATACTGATGTAGTCATTTTCTACTCTCAGTTACAGTATACAGGGAGTGTGAGGAAAGGTTCGACATTTTGGAAAATAAACTTTGTCGTTTTCACTAAAACCACGAATTCTCACTTCAGCATTTCTTTCTTTGTCTATAGGTTAGCTATTTCCTGCTGCTTCTACTTTATATGCTAAGCTAAGCTAATCACCTCCTGGCTTCAGTTCCATAAATAACACACAGACATGAGAGGTGTATTGATCTTATTAAGTCACACAAGCATTTTCCTGTAATAGAGAACTATTGCTTTGAGATCACATATCCCCCTGGTAATGGCAAATGTCATCATGCAGTATGACCAGTTACTTCATTGTCTGATAAGCTGATGCAGATGAGAAAATAGTATAAAACTGTATTTTCAGATTTTCAGAATTTAGAAAAAATCATGTCACTTAACAGAAATTAACCAGCCGTCTTTAGACTATTCCAGCTTCATAATTTCCTGAACC